CAATCCCTTCTCCTCCATTCTCCTCTTGGGATCTTGGGCACACATGCACACGTGCCTGGTGTGAGTTTAAGTCACTAGGTCTGAGACTCAAACTGCGGTCGACTACGTGGGAATCCAGTGACATAGCCTTTGTGCCAGCTGCTGGTCTCCAAATTCTGTTTTTAAAAAGTCTTGAAGGCCAAACAAAAATATCTGTATATCATTTGTCATATCTTGTTTAGGTAAAAATCACCAATACAGGTCATTTTGGTGATTAGTTGTTTTTTGTTGTTGTTGTTGTAGTTTTTAACTAGTTTTTCAGTGCTCTGTACACAGGTTTTTAAACAGATTTTCAGTTTATAAAGCACTATTTTTTAAATAGCCACATAGGAGGAGTTCGATGTGGTTTATTCAGAAGTTATATTGTCTAGTGTTATTCACAATAGGCAAGAAATGGAAGCAACCCACGTGTCCACTGACAGATGAACAAGTAAACAAATGTGGTATCTTCAACAATATTACTGAGCCATAACAAGGAAGGAAATCCTTCATATGCTAAAATACGGAATTTTTTTTTCCCTTTTGTGCCCTAGTCCACGGACACTCACCAGAGAGAGACAGTGAAAGGGAAAGTGAGAAATCACCCACCCAGGGAGGATGGCCATGCCATAGTCCCTTCTCCAGTCTCCTCCTGGGATTTTGGGCACACTCTCATGCGCCCAGCATGATTTTTCAAGCCACCAAGTCTGGGACTCGAACGGTGGTTGGCCACGTGGGGAGTTCAGTGCCTTAACCACTTAGCCACCTGCCAGCCCCCCATATGGATAAATCTTGAAGGCAAGATGGGAAGTGAAAGTAACCAGTCATAAAAATAAAAATATGCGTGATTCTACCATATGAGGTGTCTAGAGTCGTTAAATTCATAGAAACAGGAAATGAAGGTTGGTGGCCAGGGGTTGGAGGGAGGGAGAAAGGAGGCGTTGTTTAATGGGTATTGAGTTTCAGTTTTGCAAGATGGAAAGGTCTGGGAGATCAGTTGCATGACAATGTGAGTGTATTTAATACTACCTACCTGTTTACTTTAAAAGAGTAAGATAGTAAATCTTATGTGTATTTCGCTATGTGTTTAATAACAACATATGGAGGCCAGCAGGTGGTAGGGTGGTTAAGGCGTTGGATTGCACACGGCCTACTCTGCAGTTCAAATTCCAGACCTGGCACCTTGAAAGACATGCTGGGAGGGTGGCAGGTGGCGTGGTGGTTAAAGGCACTGGACTCCCATCTGGCCTACTGCAGTTTGAGTCCCAGACCTGGCGGTTTGCTTTCCGTCTCTCTCTCTCTCTTGCCCTCACTCTGTCCCTCTCAGGTCAAATTAAAAATAAATAAAGTTAAATAAAATAATTCTTAAAACAAAACATGCTGGGCACTTGTGCATGTGTGCCCAAAATCCCTAGAGGAGAATAGAGGACAAGGGAATGCAGTGTGGCCATCCCCCCGGGGGCATGATTTCTCACTTTCCCTCTCTCTCTCTCTCTGCCTCTTTCTGTCTCCTGCAAATGCATGTGCCCTATGAAAAAAAACCTAGTAGTAATAATAAAAATAATAATGACATCATATAGAATAGAACTGAAAAAAAAATGAAAATGAAAGGGTAACGTATGGTTAATGTAAAATAATTTAACAATTTAAAGCAATGGCAGTATCTTAAATTTTTGAACCTTAAATAGAAATACATTATAGTTACAAAAAAGGTGAGGCAGGTAAATAGAGTTCAGTTATTGTACAGTTCTTACTTTTTTTGGTGGTTTGCTATGGGGTGTTATGTGATGGCCAGAGACAGATTTAGGGAGAGGGAAAGTGAGAAATCACACACACACCCCCCCCAACTGTAGTCCCTTCTCCATTTTCTTCTTGGGATTTGGGCCATGCACAGACACAAGCCCAGTGTGATTTTCAAACTGCCAGGTCCAGGACTCAAATTGTGCAGTCGACTACCTTAACCTCTGGGCCACCTGCTAGCCCCCAGTTCTTACATTTTTATGAAGTAGTAAATACACTCAATTAATGTGAACCATAGTAAGGTAGAGATGCATATTAGACTCACTAAAAGGATAATACAAAAAATTATGACCAAAAAAAAGAAAAATAGAATAATGTGATTTCATTTAGATAAAGATCAACAATAGGGCTAGCTCGAGGATGCAGCAGTGAAGTTCTGCTCAAGCAATGCTGGACCTATGAGGAAGATCGTGGTTCAGTCCCACGGTCCACCTGGACACCCTGAGCACACGCACCCGTGACCCTGGTTGGCTGGGGAGGTGGAGGGTGGTGGTAAGGACTGCAGCAGGAGACCCTTTTGAGGGTGCTTATCTTCCCCACTTTTCTCTCTCTGTGTCCTGCTCTCACAAAAGAAGTAAATAAACATTTCTACCAAAAAAAAAAAGGTAAAACTCTGACAGCTCAGAATAGTGGCCGCCTTGTGAGGGAGGGTAGATACTGACTGGCTGGGTGGACAAGCAATCCTCTTCTCCAGCAAAGCACTGGAGAATGTCTGCATTGTCTGTGGTGGACAGTGACGCCGGTGTTTACATCTGTACGTTGTACTGTCTGTTAGGTGTACCTCAGTAAAACAGAAAACAGTAAAAATGTTTAAAAAGCATTGAAAATAGTATTGAGAGAGGGGACAGCAAAGTACAACCCACCGGCCAATCCAACTCTCTGTATGTTTTTGTTCAACTTACAGGCTAAGAAAGGTTATTGCATGTTTAAATAGGAAAAAAAAAATCTGAAGAGGAATTGTATTTTGTGAAAAGTATATGCAATTCAGGTTTGTGTCCATACATAAAGATTGGCTGGAACAACAACCACGAATGGTATATTGGGGTCAGCCGGCGGTGTAATGTTTAGGGCAGTTAGATCCCACTGGCTGATCACACGGTTTGATTCCCAGACTTGTGGCTTGAAAAACACACTGGGTACATGTGCATGGGCTCAAAACCCCAACAGGAAGGAGGAATACAGGAGAGGGGATTGCGGTAAGGAGATACAGAGAAGATTGTGGGGAGACCCTTCCCCATGGGGGATGCTTTCTCTCTCCCTCTTTCTCTCTTACTCACTCGCTCTTCCTCCCTAGTGAGCTCAAGCACCCTCTGTCAAATTTAAAAAGATGTTTCTATGTTTTACAATGTAATTTCTTTGTTTCTCAGCTAATACCACCCGAATATTCCAAGGGACCCGAATTGTGAAAACAGGAGTGGTAAGTAGAGAATAACGGCTTATCATAGCTGGCTGTTAATTTGCATGCAGTTAAAACTGTCACCACGAGGTGGCAGTATAAGGTTGTTAAACTGCACAATGTGAAGTGGTTAAAATACAGGGAAAATTACATTATCCCTATCGTCCAATACATTATAAAAACAAGCCATGCAACAGCGTGAGCAGGTTACATTGTATCGTTTTGTCAGGTTAGAAATCCTCTACATTTTTAGTCATTTATGATCTGAGGGATCAGACCATACAAGAACACAAAGGGGTTAATCTGTTCCAAGCCCTTTTTTTGGCACATGCTAAAATTCAGAGGTTGTCGCCTGCACCAAAATGACATGATTTGCATATTTCTGGCACCTGAATTAATATCTCAGTCTCTGCATGCCTGGCACAATCATAATACTAATCACAGCAGCAGTGATAGTAACAGTAGCCGAAAATTTACTCAGCACTTCCCGGGCGTCAGGCACAGATTATTCTGTGTACTCCTCATGTCAGCCCGAAAGCTGGTCTCACTATTATTCCCATTTAAGAATGAGGAACACGAGACTCAGTACGTTACAGTAACGTGCCCGGTATCACCCAGAGAGCAAATGCGGGCTTACACTACACATACCTAGGCAATCTGTTTTCTCTGTATCAGGGCCTTATCATAGTGCGGCATTTTGTTTTCATTAACCTGCTCTAGTTCTCAGCTTTGCTAACTTGATCTTCCTTAACCTACAGAGTTTTCAAAGTGACTCCAAGTTAGGAAACCTAAGTGGTTTGGAGTGTTGTCGTGAACTGGACAAGTAATGGGGTAGAATTCTAGATTCTTTACACCAGCTTATAGCTAAAATTAAACTAGGATCTGAGAGCAGCACCCCTTGTTTTCCCAAGATATATGAATAAAGCCCACGTGTGAGTCCCTGGGTAGTGTGGTGGGAGGAGAAGCTGAAGTTTGGACCCAGGCAGCCCTGCCTTTGCACGTCCTGGAGCCTGTGCCTTATGTGAGCTCCTGACCGTCTCTGCACCTCAATTTCCACGCCTGTATAGTGGGGTGATGATCATGCCTGCTTCCAGGGTAGCCTGGGAAGCCTGGCACATAGTTGACACTCATCCTGGAACTCTCGTTGTTATCGTTGATGTTCTTGTCATCTGTATGGGTGTAGATTTTGCCATGGACAAACCCGAGGTCCTGAGAAGCACAATGATACATCACCCCATGTGGGGCTGCGGCAGTGCAGAGTGGTCCCAGAGCATGTGGTGCAAAACATGGCTCCTGCTTCTGACTCTTCTGACCGCCACCGCAGACCCGAGCAAGTCAGAGTCCCTCTCTGTCCACCTACTGCCTCCCTGTCCGGTGGTAGACTTAGACGAGGTTCGGACCTGAGACCTGACCATTGGTATTCACCAAATGCTTTAACTCACATAAAAGCAAGGGGTTCCTACTGCTCATTCTTATAAGAGCAGTTAACCACCTGATGTTGCGAACATCTTATTTATTGTATGTCTTTAGGCCGGTGTTACTCGCTTTCTGCCAGTTCACCCCATCTTGGGCAACATCAGTGAAAAGTTGGGGTTGGTACACTAGTTGAAATCTTTCAATGCACTCAAGTCATTGAAATCATTAACTTAAGAGTTGGTCGTGCATTGTTGCCTCGTGTCAACTTCTGCACCGTCATTTGGGAAACCTCACAGGATAGATGTGTAAAATCCTTGGAGGGTGACAACCAGGCCTTGTTCCCAATCCTAATTACTGACACCTCTCTGCATTTCCTTCCTTCCCCCTCCCCCAACCTCTCCTGGTGACCCTTTCAAGCCCACAGCGTCTCCTGCCTCTTCAGCAGACATGGCCCCCATCAGCTCGGGGTCTTCTACCTGGACATCCTCCGGCATCCCCTTCTCATTCGTTTCCATGGCGACTGGGATGGGCCCCTCCTCCAGCGGCAGCCAGGCAACAGTGGCCTCAGTGGTCACCAGCACGCTCCTGGCAGGCCTGGGGTTCGGTGGCGGTGGCATCTCCTCCTTCCCCAGCACTGTGTGGCCCACACGCCTCCCGACAGCTGCCGCGGCCAGCAAACAGGCGGGCAGGCCTGTCCTTGCGACAACAGAAGCCTTGGCTTCCCCAGGGCCAGACGGCGATTCCACGCCCACCAAGGTCCTTGCGACAACAGAAGCCTTGGCTTCCCCGGGGCCAGACGGCGATTCCGCGCCCACCACTGACAGCGAGGGCTCAGAGGAAGGGGAAAAGGATGAGAAGAGCGAGAGTGAGGATGGGGAGCGGGAGCATGAGGAGGAAGGGGAGAAGGACTCTGAGAAGAAGGAGAAGAGCGGGGTGACCCACGCCTCCGGGGAACGGAACCAGACCGAGCCCACCCCGGCCCCCTCCTCTCCCAACAGAACTGCCCAGGAAGGTGGGCATCAGACTATACGTGGGCACGAGCAGGACCACACTGCCATCCCCACCGGCCAGCCGGGGAAGGCCAGGGAGGCCGACCCTGGCCCGGACTCCGACTCGGTCACCCCCACCCAAGTGCCCCCCACAGTCACAGAAGAACTTTATGCAGGGAGTGACCCCAAGAGGCCTGCAATGCCATCTAAAAAGCCTATGTCCCGAGGGGACCGATTTTCCGAGGATAGCAAATTTATCACTGTCAATCCAGGTAAGTGGGACCTGTCCTCATCTGAATTCCATGCTGCTGTGGACTGTCTTCCCTTTCTTTCAAAAAATCAAGGCTAGGTGGGGCCAGCAAGTGCCATGATGGTTAAGGGGCTGGACTCCAGCGTGGCTGACTACAGTTGAAGCCCTGGATCCAGTGGCTTGAGAATCACTGGGGAGTGGGAACCAGCAGTTAGCGTAATGGCTATGTCGCTGGACTCCCATGTAGTTGACCACGGTTTGCATCCCGGACCCGGTGGCTTAAAACCCACGCCGGGTGCGTGTGCGTGCATGCCCAAGATCCTGGGAAAAGAATGGAGGAGAAGAGATTACAGCATGGCCATCCCCCCGGCGGGTGATTTCTTGCTTTGTGTCTCCATGTCTCTCTCTGTCTGTCCAGCGAGCACACGCACTCTGTAGCAAAAACCTCTCCAAAAAAAAAAAAAAAAAAGAATCACTGGGGAGTGTGGGCTTAAGAATCATGGCTGCGGAGTGTGTGTGTGTGTGTGTGTGTGTGTGTGTGGGCATGTGTATGTGTGTGTGCATGCCCGAGGGGAGAATGCAGGAGAAGGGATTGCAGCATGGCCATCCCCCCTGGGGGGTGATTTCTCGCTTTCTGTCTCTATGTGTCTGTCTGGTGAGCGCATGCGCCCTATAGCAAAAACCTCTCAAAAAAAAAAAAAAAAAAAAAATAAAAAAAATTATTGAGGA